ACATTAAGCAGCCTGCTTAAAGTTGGGGCACCAGCTGATACACTATGAAACGCTGGCGCAATCGGTGAGAGTTTCGGATTTCTGGAGTAAGCTGAAGTGGTTTTACTGTATTTATTTCTAGCGGGTGTAACTTGAGCGTTTTGGTGGAGATCGGTCCTGAGCGTGCGCATTATTCGTGCTGAATCTAACCTTCAGACAGCTAGGAATGAAGGAATGAATCCTCAGAGTAGTCTCAATATAGCCCATTATAGTAATTTCCAGACCTTCATTCCTAGCTAACCAAAGGTGAGGAATGGCTGCGTGGTGGCCTAACCCCTAAACCTTTGTTGCAGCTTCTCTAACCTTCACGCTGCCTAGCGCCGCCTCACAGATGCCGATGGAAATGCCGTTGGTAGAGAACCAAATGGGGTTTCCCAAAATTAGGGGTACCTCTTGGGGGTCCGTATTCCAAGGATTGTAGAATTTAGGGGTCTATATCCGGGACCCCCCAATTTTGGGAAAATACCAAAGAATTCCACTACAACACAATCCCCAACATGTACCTCCCTAACTTTAACAGAAAACGCCTCTCTATACACCAGACGACTGGGAGCCTCCCTATGGACACTAAGACCGGAGAAGATGCTCTAATTTCTGTGACGGCAGGCGCCTGGAGTGCAAGCCAAAAATGGTGTGCAGAATACACGCTGGAACGGCGCCCCCCCTTTGTGCTATCCCGTTTGGTTTGGCCCTGCAAAGTCCCGCCCTCATTTATCATCCAGGCGAAAGTTGTCTGTCTGGTTGTTTGTCTGTGTGCTGGGCACAGTGCTGTTGACAAACCAAATCCTGCGCCAGATTATGTACTGTACCATATATGACCTCCATCGACTGCAGCTCTTTGCATTGCCAAGCCACTGGCCTAAACATCTTTCCTCAACTTATGTACCCCAAACCTTGAACCCTAAATCCTAAAACCTAGACCAAGGATCCAATAGGAGCGCTTGGGTCAACCCACCGCAGCCCCCTGAACCCTCCCCGGGTTGGACACGAAGCCCGCCTAGGCCAGGATCCATGGAAGAAGCCGAAGGGTTTTGGGTTTTAAAGCCAGGGAAGAAGCGCAAAGGGTTTGGGGTTTAGGGCGAGGATCCAGGGAAGAAGCCCAACCTTGTAACCACTTCCCGCTGCTATTAGAACCCCCCACCACCCAAAAGTATTTTCAACATATGCAGTATGCGCAGACCTGTGGGGGGAAGGTTAATTGTTCAGCGGGATGCGTTCCTATTAGTGGGAAATGCGTAAAACGTACATCTTGTGAAAAACCTAGCCAAGGGTTCCTGGCTGGTTTCCCAAATTGGGGCCCTGCTTTTGTAACCTCAGAGAGACTAGATGGTATACTATAACCCTAAGGGTCCGAGGACCCAAATAATGCGGCTTTAGGGCCCAAATACCATTAAGAGCATAGTATTTGGGCCCTGAAGCCCTGTTAGTTGGGTCCTTGGACCCTTAGGATAGCTGATGCCCAAAGCAGTCCATAATTTTGAAATCTAAACCCTAAACCCAACAGCCCATGTTCTTCCTCACGCCCGTCCTTCTTCTGGATCAGCTTCACCTGCAGTACGCATGAGTAGCATTTACTGGTGGTTGAGCCAAGTCAGGCCATACTCGCGGTGTAGGGTTTAGGGTTTAGGGGTGTATTTGTCTATCAAAAGCTGCAACCAACCCTAAGGGTCCAAGTACCTAATAAGCATATAGTTACCCAAAACCTGTACTACAATTATAGCAACCGAAAACCCGAGTACCTAATCACAATTATTAGGTACTCGGACCCTTAGGGCAACAGGGGGAACCCTTAACCGTTAAACCCCGATGCCACTTTTAATTCCCCAAGTCGGGCGGCCCTTTTCGCTCAGCACTAGCTCCCTCATTGGGATACAGTACAATTGCTTGACAGAACTGCCCGACAACTTGATATGGAGACTTGTGGAAAGACCACTCTCGGAATCTTCGACGCTTGAACCCCTTCCCACCCCTGTGCAAGTTCTGTGAGGACCATCCCTAAACCCTAAAGCCTAATCCCTACACCCTGAACCCTCTATACTCTCTAAACCCTTAACCCTGATCCCTAAACCCTAAACCCTAATCTCTAAACCCTCATCCCTAAACACTATATCAGAAAATCCCATACTCATTCAGGAAGGGGGAGTGGTGTTTCGTGTTGGGAGGACGTGGTTGCAGGTGCTTGGCCATGTTGGCGAGCTAGTTAGGGTTTAGGGTCTAGGGTTTAGGGCATATGTAAAATCGATCCTTCTAACCCTCTGCCCACACATGTTGGAAGTAGTTGACACAAAACATGTGCATGTGCAACCTGCTTAACCTCAAAATGCCTTAGACCCGTCCCAAATCACCAGCCTTGAGGAAAGGCAGACCCTTGTCCGAGGGCTCGTAACCTGAGATTCATACCAGGGGTAGTTTGGGCAGACGGTTTTTTGGGATTCATGTTTCAAGTTTAGGGATGCAGGGTTTCCCCTCTCCCTTGTCTAGGGGGATCATAGGGCTGCTCTCCGAATCCTGAATTTGGTCTGGGGGCTTCCCAAAACTATAGTGGTACCTTTGTGGGTGCCCCAATAAGGATTATAGGTTTGGGTCTATATTGGGGTCCCTTAGAAAGAGAAACTGCCATATACCTGTTCGGAACCAGCTTCTTGCATACACGGCCGGGATTGAGGTTTAGACCCTGCGGTGTGAGGTATAAAGCAATCTGGGCCAGTTGCCCTTCCCAATTCCTAGTTTGGTCTTGACCTAGTTCACCAACCCTCACTCAGAAGGGCGAGGCCACAAGAAGAAACCCTACCTAAACTGCTGAGCTCTATGATGATATTGATGTAGGGTCAATGGAGCTGGCTTCGTCTGGACGCATCCGGATGTATGAGTGCGTGCTTAAGTTGACTGGTAGTTCACAGTGCACAAAGGAAAGGGACAACTTCTACATGGTTGGTGTCGTATAAGGGCTACCATAGGTGATAGGGATCCATTCCTCCGTTCCTGCTATGTTACAACCAGCAAGGAAGCAAGTCTGCGTGTCAAACGAAACCGCACGTGTCAAATGAGACATACTCGGATGGTGTGTGTGAACAGAATATTTTCTCATGGAGACCTAGAGTGAGGAAAACTTGGAAGTTCCTCTTTGCTGGATTCTGTCGTAGCGTGAACTTGTCCCTGCAAGCCCTGAGAATCAGTGCATAAATAGTACAAGGAGTTTGGTAACCCCAACCCCCAAA